GTGGATAAGTTGATATTATTGTTTGGGTTTGATCACATGCTTGTTGTTTGCTGTTCCTCCTACTTGTCTCTAGGTGGCATCGGATTGCTTTCTCTGTTTCAAAGAAAAATGTGACACTGCTGCTGGACTGCAAGAAGAAGATGACCCGTCCTCTGCCCAGAGGCAATAAGGCTGAGGTGGACACCAATGGCATCACAGTGTTTGGAGCTCGTCTGCTTGATGAGGAAGTTTTCCAGGTGAGGATCTAAGGAACTTATTACAACCTGACTTTACATTATTTCATCACATTTTGAAATTAATTTGTTTTAACTTAAATAAAACTTATCTGTATTAATACTCATATCCACTTTTCCTTGACAGGGAGACATCCAGCAGCTGTTAATCGCCTCCAACCCTCAGGCTGCTTATGACTTCTGTGAACACTACAGCCCTGACTGTGACTCCCCTCTGCCCAAGACCCAAGCTCAGGATCCCAACACATATGTGAGTAACAGACCTAACAGGGGGGCGATACTTCGTCTTTAATAAACCGACATCCCTTCACCTGTTTTAGTCACATATTAGATAAAATAGAAGATAAATAACTAGAATCAGGACACATCTGTAGCTCCAAAAAATCTCGCCCAATCAGAATTTATGGACCTATTTTTTTCACACACTTTCTGTTGATATAAACATAAAGAACATATTAAGTTAACTACACTCACAAAAGTGTTTGATCCAAATTTTAATATTTATGTTATTTTATTACGTAATCAATGACAAGATGCATAATTATTTGCATTATAAAATGTATTGATTTGAAACACATTATCATCAGGTTTATGTATTTAGTATAAATAAAGTAAACTTACTCTTAATTAATACTATGGAGTGTCTTTACTTCAAATAAATACAGTTTAGTGTTTGAATTGCACACATGTAAACTGATTATTATGCAATTCTAGCAGCAAACTTTATGTATATAAAATAAATAACACAAAGTGTTGATTATGAGTTGGTAAACTTCATAAATTTTAAATATATGAACCTGATTATTATGTATTTTAACAAAATAATCTATATTAAACTAATAAATATGGATCCTGTAAGGTTTATTTATTAGGTTTGTATTAAAATTATCCAAGAAAATTAATTGGGAATTGTTATTGTGGAATTGTGATATTGTTATTTAATAGAATTAGATAAATCTTAGAAATTGGGTGAAACATTTTTGTGAGCATAACCTTTTAAATAAGCAATTTGAAAAGAAGAAAAATACACTAAAAAAATTTCAGAAGACCAATGCAACTTTATTACAGACATATTTTAATAGATATTTTTAGTTTTGTTTATTCAGCTCTGGAACAAAAGTGCTGTGTTAATTTAACTTTTCACTTTCTTTTTATTTTGTAGCAAATTTTCTTTCCCAATAGATTTAAAACATCTATTTTTTCCATTGGTTTATTATTAACGTGTGAGGAGTACGTGAGCCTATGTAGATATAATCAAACAGTGAGATCAGCGGCAGATTTCTGAACTGTAATTCCTCAGGTTCAGATCAGGTCATCTGATAAAACCATCAAAGTTCTGCTCCCCTTTCTGTCTTCCTCATGCACCCTTGTCATCAACAACTGTTTGTATCTATCCCACTTCCCCTCCACCTCTACAGTCTGTGTCCTGGGGGTATTTAGAAAAGCAGACGGCTTTTTATTTTCTGCTCCTGTAAAGATTTATTTCATTTTAATCATGACTTCCCTGTTTTCCCTGTTTTCTGCTCTGCTGCAATGGAACACAGAAAGGTGGGGGTAAGAGGATGATACAGAAAAACATCAATGTTTGCCATGCTTTGTTCAGATGGATTGAAATAAAGAGAACATCAGCACAACATGAACTTTAAATTCCGATTGGTTTGGTGGTGAAATTGTGACATAGGACTATGGCTGAAGGTCTGCTTATGGTGGAACCTGCTTGCTTACTGAGACTGGTCGGTCAGAATTCACTCTAGGCTTTGCTGTTTTGCATAGTTGGGGACTTTTGTTTTATACAGGCTGCATCACAGATTTGATTATTCAAAGAAGGTTCATCTGCATGCATCCATCCAAAGTACCCATCTATCATGAGCTTGCATGCCTGGTCCTACTCAGTGTGATCATCAGACACAGTTTGTCTCCACTGCCATGTTGATGTTGTTGTGATGACTTCTCCTGGAATGCATTGAATTCCCTGTTTTTACTCCACCGCTGCTTTTATGGTTTTCTCATTCATCAGGGTGGATTATCTATTGAATTCTATTCCATTGGTAACTTTAAGCTTTATAAAAAAGACTCAGATGAAGTGAGAAACAAAAGGTTTGCATTGTTCCGTCACCCCATTGCTTTCCATTGCAGATTCTCAACTCGGTACTTCTTGCTTTTTACTTTTCTTCTTTTTTTCGCTCCATAACCCTTCCTTATTTCCTTTACCTCTTTTAGTTTGTTTTTTTTGCTTTCATTCATCTTCCTGTCTGACTCCATCTCATCCTTTTTATCTGTCTTACAATCATTTAATCCCTCCGTCTTTCTCAGTACTTTGATGAGGACCAGGATGACCTTTACTGCCCCTATTATTATTATCCCATCATTATAAGGAAAACCAGGTTTTCCCTCCTCCTCTGCACCCCCTCCTCCCCAACCTGGAGACCCAAAATAATGGAGCAAGAAGGAGGGAAAATGATATTTGGGTTGAGGAATGAAACAAAAAGAAAAAATTAACATGATAAACAGCAATAAAAGAATCCATGATATAAAGTCAACTTGCTAAATATAAGATATAACCTAAATGTATTCTACATATTTGTTGAGGTTATGTATAAGGGCTTACCTTTTTATTTATTTTTTTATTTTATTAACTGACTTAAGGATCTCTCATCAGTTATCACTCTTTACCTCCTTTTTTTATTTCCCTTTCTAATTAATCAGGTTTGACCTCCTAAACATCCTCTTCATATCTACGATTTGTCGTAAATCACATTATGTCTGTTTCCTGTCATTAACATGTTGTCATGTATGTATGTATGTGTAATTGTCCACATTGTGGCCAAGTGGCGGCACTGATGAGGTGTAGGGATGGTTGTTTTAGCATACACAACACACCTGTAATTCATTCCCACCATTTATGGTTATTTATTAGGGTAAATCTGCAATTCCCATTATGTGTGTTTTAGACTTTTAATTTTCAATCTCACTTCTTGGAAAGAAGCTGAAAGTATTTTTGTATTTTTTGTATAATTTATTGAAGGTGAATGTTTTACAAATCTTTAACAATAAACAGTGGAATGTACAGAAATGGCCATTTAAAATTATTCTATTAATATTTAGATTTTACAGAAGTTGATTAAAAGTAAAATTTAGTTCAAGCTAAACTTTTATATAAATATAAAAATGCCAAATCTGATATTCCTAAATATTCCTTATGGGTTAGGAGAATTAGTTTTAAATTAATGAATCCAGACAAAGAAATTCTGATAATAAAATATTTAGATTTTGTTAAATCTAGAGTCTCTTTTATGTGCGTTAAAGGTGAACTCCATCAATTTAAAACAAAACCTCTTTTTTTTTTTGCTTTTCAATGTTTTATTATTTGCATGATCTGAAAAGTTATTGTTGCATGAAGTTCCTGTCTTTTGTATTATGCGTTCATTTTTTTCCAGTTATTTCACTGCATGGTTATAAAGCTCAGGTTTGCATTATATTCAAATAATTCATGCATGTTTGTTAAAGTTTGTATCAAAAAATATGTGATCATTTTGCCATTGCCACTACTGAGCCTATATTACTCTTTAAGGTATTTGTCTTTTGATTTTTTTACATTTTCAATGTATCTTTAGAACAAACCATTTTTGTTTGCATGTCTTTACTTTCAACAGTGGAACATAAAATAATATTCTTTGTACTTTTGTGTATGTGTGTGATTTCCTTTACCTAACATGTTGTTGCATGTCTTCCTAACAGTAAGCTGCTGTCCTTTGCATGCTTTAACTGTTGGTTTTCCAGTTGAACCCATTAATGCAGTTCTGCATCAGTTTAGTGCATCAGTGGTGTGTGTGATGTGGGATTGTGTTTAGAGTGTGTGTGTGTGTTAAAACAGCTGGCTTTAGCTGACTGGTCACACCCCCCAGTGCCTCTACTAAACCACAACCTCCAGTTACTTAGAGAGCAAAGATGCTGCTTTTATTTGATGTTGGGAATGGCATTACTGGAGAAAACAGCAAATGTAAAAAAGAAAGGATGCATTATAGGATTATTATCAAAATACCAACATTTCTTAAACTTATCTTGTAACTCCACTGCTGACTGTTGTTTTATTTAGACGTAGACTTCTGCTGTATCCAGTAATGCCTGCACAGTCTCAGTAAATCATCCAGACCTTAGCCATCTTTATGTCACTGTTTGTCAAAACACCCACTCTTGTCTTTTTGTCTCTTTCTGTCAATCCTTTGTTTGTGCTTTTCATCTTCCTCCCAACCCCTCCGTGTATCTTTATCATCTACCCTCCCTCCCTTTCTCTGTCCGTTTGCAAATTCTACATTACAAATACTCTACAAACTATTTTACTGGATATTAGAAGAAAGCGGTCAATGGAAAAGCAGCTCCCCCTAAGCCCCTTCTTGCAAAAGCTAAACCCACTCCAGCAAAGTCAGCCAAGAATGGACCTTACAAGCTGGTAGTCAAGCCCCCGATGCCCACCAAGGCATCTAAAGCTTCTAAAACTAAATCATCCAAAGTAAAACCCACTCCAGCACAGATCCTGTTGTCTAAGATCAAGCCAACTGCAGCAAGTAAATCAAAACCCACATCTGCTCCAACTAAGAATGGAAATGGTAAACCAGCTGTTCAGAAGAAATCAAATGGTGGAGCTAATACCAATTCTAATGCAAATGGGAAGACATCCAATGGCAACAGCAAGGCTCAAACCAAAACAAATGGAAATGGGAAGCCCTCTGTAGTGTCGAAGGTGAATGGAAACGGCAACGGCAAAGCTCCGACGCCGAAGAAACCTGTTGGAAATGGGAAAGTTACCGGGAAAGTTAATGATGCAGCCAAAGCTAACGGCAACAGCAAAGCAAAGACTGCGGTTTCCAAAGCACCCAAACCCACAAAAGCAGCTCCTTCAAAAACAGCGAAACCTGCTACAACCAAAGTTCCTGTAGCAAAGGCCCAAGCAGGGTCCAAAGTGAACACTAAGGTGGTCAAACCAACTGCCGGCAAACCTGTGAAGGCTTCAAGTCCAACAAAACAAACTTCAACAACTGCAGCCGTCCGACCCACTCCACCTAGACCCACAAAAGCCAAGATGGACAACAACAATGTGAAATCCCACCACAGACCCTTCCCACCGTTTGGCAAGGCTTCACAGGGTGGATCTGTTGTCAAAACTAAGAAAGTTACCAACGGTTACCCAGAGGTACAACATGAGGGTTCATGTTTGGTTCCAAGTGTCCACAGATTTATGCTCTGCTCTTCCATTCTCTTTGCCTGCCTCGTCCATCATGTGGGATCTGCAGTAAAATCACAGCTGATAAACAGATTTTGGTGTAAATCCTCACTGATGAACCAGCTCGCTGTCTGAATGGAAGTTGGTTAATGCAAGCATTCTGCCTTCTTGTCTTTGCATATATCATATGTTCCTCCCAACCTTCCCAACCTCTCCATATGATATGATCCTGCAGCACACACTGAAGCATGGCTCTATGGCTTAAATATACAGCTTTGTTGTTTGTTTGTTTTTTTTACTTGACTTAAGGATCTGAATCCCCAAGAGTAATTTTACCTGGAAACAGTCAGATAATGGGCGTGTGTTATTATAATACAGCAGCCAGGAAGAAATATCTTTTATAAAACTTAAAATGTTGCTGCAGAACAAACCTCCACCTGTCGCTTTGTCACTGTCTGGCTATTATTGGCCTCTTTCTGACTTTGATCTTATTGATTTTTGTTGATTTTTAATTAAATATGAATACAACAGCTTCACAGAATCTATGGCAAGCTTTAAGCATCTATTAACATCTTTGTAGATTTATTCTTTAAGGTAAATGGTATATTAAATGACTAAAGTCCAGGTCTGTGAGGCTGTTAAGTCACTATGTCTCCGTTTTTTCTGACCTTGGTTGAAACTCGACATTCTGAAGCATCAAGCTGGGATGTTTTCTTTTGCATCAGATGGATCGATGCCAGCGTTGTTGCTTCCAATAAGAGCAAACTTCACACTTTTTAAACCTTGGCTTTTAAGCTCTGTAAAGCAAAACCTGTACAAGAATTGCATGGGAAGAAATTTCAGTTAAGTCTCAATGACTTTGCAAATCTTCCATATTGCATAAAGTCTTTGATGCTCTAAAAGCAACTGAAACTTCTTTTCTATGATGGCTCTTTGCAAGATTAAAATGTGCATCACCAGTGGAAACCTACGACGGAGTATGAGGGAAAATAAAGTAATGATATTATGAGAATAAAGTTAAAAAATATGGGTTCTATGAACTTAAAGTTGTAATATTATGAGATTAATGAAGAAGCCTATTTTAATTTTAACTTTTACATAAAAAGGTTAGGCTGCAGTTTTGGTAAACTTGATTAATTGTCTGTTAGGGCTTGTGTCTCAGTATTACAACTTTTTTCTTATATTTTTATTGCTTTATTCTCGTAATGTTAAGACTTTACTGTAATAACTTTAAAAAAAAAAAAAAAACTCTTCTTAGTATGGCCCTAGTACTCTGTTGTGAAAACCTTTCACTGGTGACCACAGTTTGACGATGAGTTGAGGTTTCTGGCTAAAGCAGAACCAACTAACCCTGCTCTCCCAATCAACTCTGCTTACTTCCTCTCTGTTCACAACTTCCTGTCAACCTGACCAATCAGGATGTAGAATATTCTGAGGCTGGCCACACCCCTACAGACGATTATTACTATGAGGAGATGGTTCCACAGGCAGACGGTGAGGTGTTTGGAGAGGAAGAAATACCAGTTCAGGTAAAAGGAAAATCACACGCATTGAACCATGTCAAAGAAAAAAAAATCTTCTATGAATTTATCACATTTGTCTATTAAACCAAACAGCTAAGCAGTAAAACTTTATTATTCTTATCAGAATAAAACCATTTTGTTAGCTGTATGACGGTGAGCCCAGTCCTTGTAGTTTAACTCTTTCCTTTTACATTTTTCTAACCATTCATCATTTTACTGTCAGCACAAAGTAACATGTGAGAGAAAACTCCTTTAAAAGAGAATGCACCACATTCATCTCCTGCTTCATCAAACATGTTTATGTGGCTCCTTCTCCTTCACTGCAAGGTTCCCGACTTGTTCTCAGATCAAGATGCTTCATTAAACCCAAACAATCTTGGGATAAGAACAAAAACCTTGTGATGAAAAAGACCCACATGATGATATTTGATGTCAAGTTTCACCACAGAGGAGATGGATGTAATCCATTCTTATTTAAAAGAAAAACAAACTGGAAAACAGCTGCTGCTGAAGGTTCCTTAATGACGCTAACATGTTGTTTGTGATCATTTCTTATTTGTTCAATAACATATCAAAGATAATTAATTACTTATTAATGTAAGTTGATTTTATGGAACATGTTTTGCCAACTTTGGTGCTAAAATCTGAAAGAAGTTTGGTGAAACTTTTAATTTGATTAGAAATGCCAGTTGAAATGCTTCTATTAGTGTTTTCATATCAGCATCCATATTGGATTATTAACCTTTATGTCTAGAAAGATGTTCGGTAAGTACACATGTGAGATCTTTGTTTTGCTTTGGGTAGAACTTAGCAGAAGTTTGTTTTCACAAAGCTTTTCATTATCCGTTTGCATCCAGAAAACATAAGATAAAGGCTCCTGTATAAACCTGCTTTAATTTTGAATCAAACTCTTTAAAAATTATATTCATTTATCATTAAAAACAAGCTGGTAAGGAAAAGTTTTGGTGAAAACTGGTTAGATAAAGATTGATTTTGGATGAAAAACAGAAGATTTATAGTGGTAAGGTATATTTCCTTAATTTACTTTTAAAAAGAGTGAATTAAGGATTGATCAGGTTTTTAGAATCTGCTTCATTATGTTTTTTTTCATAAGGTAAGTTATATTTAAACTGTCCTTCTTCTGGTACACCTTCTTTTTTTCTACCCCCTTTGTTTCTAAACATCTTCCATCTCATTGCTTTCTCTTCCCTCTCTTGTATCTTTATTTTCCTCTATTTTTCTTTGGGGTCTTTCCATCCATCTTTTATGGGCTGTAATAAACCCATCACAGCCTCAGGTAGAACCAGCCTTGGAAGGAGAGGAGCTGGATGCCACCAAGGCAGGCGGTGTGGGAGAAGAAGTTTTCACGGAGGATTATGTGACTGGAGACTTGGGCATGAGGGAATATGATTATTCCTATAAGGACTACAATGAGCCGGAACCAGAGACCGTGAAGGCTGAGGACCACTTTGGTCCAGCCCTGTCCGCTGTGACGGACGAGGGAGGCGTAAGTATTTTAGCTTTTGAAGCAAAAATCCGTTTTAACCAATCAGGATTTCTGGTCTTTGATTAATTGTTTTCAATATCTTCTCAATGATCTGGTTGAGTTAGCCATGAGTCAAAGGTCTGGACCTGTTGACTTTTTCATTTACCCTAAACCGACACAGAGCTGATACATGTATAATCCACTGTTGGTAACGTAAACAAATACTTAAAATATTTAAAATAAAAACAAAAGTTAATTCAAATATTTCCACAGTAATCCAGGCCAAACTCAATCAGTCAGAGAAATAAGTTGAATGCAATTAAAGACCTTGAAGTTACAGTGTTGGTTGAAAATGTTATTTTCTAAGTACATACTAGTTAAAACAATGCTACAGCTAGTACTGGTTTGAGGCTGAATCACTAACCATACATTCAACATACACTGAAAAAATATAATGAAAAGGCATCAGCTTTCAGGATGTTTTTTGCGGTGTATGCAAACAGTAAAAGTACTAGTAATAGTAGTAGTAGTAGTATTAGTAGTAGTAGTAGTAGTAGTAGTAGTAGTAGTACTAAGCTTTTTCTCTGCAAAGAATGTAGAAAAGTTTTGGACCAAGACCCTGGAGACCAGTATTGGTAACTGAATATCATCTTAATGGGATTTGTGTGTTTATATTTAATGTGCATCATGGTGGTGATTGCTTTGATTGTTTATGTTCTCAAAGTTAATGCAGTACATGTTCTGATTTTGGCCTGGATTTGTTAGTAGCTCCATAATGATTTTGTTGTGTTCCTGGATGCCTGTGTGTTTTCCTCAGGTCGGCATCAGAGGCCAGAAAGGAGAAAAGGGAGAACCAGCAGTCCTGGAGCCTGTGAGTGTATTTTTTGCTATGTGGGAATAAGTGACAATGTTTCAGGTTTTATTCAAGATATCTTAATATGAACAAATACTTATTTTAACCAAAGGTCAGAACTTAGATGATTACTTGTTAACCACGTTTCACTATCATGGATATTTATGATAAAGTAGTGAATATTAATGTATAAATGTTTTTTGCTACTTTTCTTCACTTGATTTGGTAGTCTCGTAATTAGGGTGGAGAGTTTGCATTTTAGAAAGCCTCAAGTGGTCAGTTCAAGCCTCACAGGATGCTTATCTGGGTCCTTGAGCAAGGCACTTAGTTCCAAGCTGCTCCCTGAGGATAACTTAACTGGAATGTAGATTTGTAATAATAAAATAATGTTGTTTGTTATTGTAAAGCAGGTAACTACTAAACTTTAAGCTAAACTTAAAAGATGTTTTTATCTAATGAATATTGGAGTCAGTCATGTTTACTTCACAGTTTATCCTTTAGTACTATCATAGTAATACCTACTTCTGTATTGTGCAAACTGGGGCATCATCTTGTCTTCAGTTTTTGATTTATATTTCTGTTTTTCAGGGTATGCTGATTGAAGGACCTCCAGGACCTGAAGGGCCTGCTGTAAGTACTACATTAGCCTGTAGTTATATACCTGCTGTTAATGTTTAGGCTACATTGCATTATGTATTTATTAAACTCAACAGTTTATTTAAGTTATTTCATCTCTGTTTGTTCAGGGGCTTCCAGGACCTCCTGGTCCTTCTGGTCCTCCTGGGTCAGCAGGTGACCCTGGTGAGAGGGTGAGACTGTTCTCTGACTTTTTCTACCTGTGCAGATTAGTGATAAATATTGAATGATGGTTGTTTGAAAAAGTTCTTACTTATTTGCAGTATTTCTCCACCTCTGTTGGTGTTTAATGCTCCTCTGTGTTCTGCAGGGTGTTCCTGGTCGAGCTGGTCTGCCTGGAGCTGATGGAGTTCCTGGACCTCCTGGAACCTCAGTCATGCTGCCTGTAAGGAACCTTTTCTCATTTATCCTCCAGACATGATTTATCATTCTAATGATGGTGGTGAAGTGGATTTTAAAGAAGTCTGATTTTATAAATGCTTTTAAGTGTGTAATACTTTAAAGGTGTAATTATATTGTCTTATGTTTTCTTCTAAATGAAACCGAAAGTCGCCACTTGTCTTTTCTGCTGCTTCTGTCTGATTTCTATGTTCAGTGTTAGTTTTATTTGATTCAAAATCATTAAATCAATTATTCAGAACACAGATCTGACTTCTTTTTATAATATACCTATTTTCTTATTGCAGTTCCGCTTCGGACAGAGTGGGGGCGATAAGGGTCCTGTCGTTTCTGCACAGGAAGCCCAAGCAAGAGCCATCTTGTCCCAGGCCAGGGTCAGTTTTATTATTAAACCTTTCCACGGTGCAAAAAGTTTTTCATTCTATTAAATTGTGATGTTTTGCATTTAGTCATGCTGATCCAAGTTTAATAATTTTCCCAAGATCTTTCACATTTATTGGTCTCTGAGTTTGCTTTGATTTGATTACTAAATTATTAGCTAATACAAAGAAACCTAAATATTTGAAAAGAATTATCTCAGGATGTCAGTAAATGATGGGCTTTAAATGACATAAATTACACAGAAATAAATTAAGTCATTTCCCAACAGCACAGAAAGTTTGATATAGAGACAAGATTTTCTTTTTACTCAAAAGAAAATCTCAGTACACACTTGTGCGTCTCAATCATTACTGAGTTTAAAAGATTTAACTTAATTACTTTCTGCAGATGGCGCTAAAGGGACCTCCTGGACCAATGGGATTCACAGGTCGTCCAGGACCTCTGGTGGGTTTCCTGCTTAAAAAACTACAAGTTTGATCATTTTAACTGATCTCTAAATTAAGCAATCTGTTTATTAAAATTATGTTATTGTTTTTTTTTTTGTCTTTACCATCATTACTGTAGGAGGAATAAATTATTATTTCTATGATGTTTCCATTTGTTTAGGGAAGTCCAGGAAGTCCAGGTTTGAAAGGAGAGGGAGGAGACCCCGGTCCTCAGGTAACATTTCAGCAGCCTGGTCAGTTTAGAGGACAGGTATCTCAGAGTCTCACCTCTGGCCTCTTTCCTTTAGGGTCCCAGGGGTCCTCAGGGCGTGATGGGACCTCCTGGCAAATCTGGAAGAAGAGTGAGTAAAAACAGCAATTTAAACTATGTGGAGTTTTTCATCCATTAAGGAATTAACTTTCAGAAGTCCAGGAATATTTCTGAAAAAAAATCAGTAGAGAACCTGTTAAAAAGTGATGGATCATTTCCACTAACAGGGCCGGGCTGGTGCTGATGGTGCCAGAGGGATGCCAGGAGAGCCGGGAACCAAGGTTAGAAAATCTCCATTATTATTAACAAGAATCCAGTTTAATCCAAATCATCATCAACATTGGTAGTTTGTTTGTTATCTGCATTTTTAAACGACAGTAAACTGTTTTAATGTATTTTGTATTATTTGTTTTAGGGGGATCGTGGCTTTGATGGTCTTCCTGGTTTGCCTGGTGATAAAGGACACAGAGTGAGTAAAAAAAATTATTATTTATTGTCAGTTTCTGTTCAGGTTCTGTTCAGAGCTCAGATTGGTTATTAATTAACCAATTAGATTTAGAATATCTAAAGTATTCATCTAGAATTTCTTTAATTTAGGGTGACCCAGGTCCAATGGGACTCCAAGGATCCCCTGGAGAGGATGGAGAGAGGGTATGAAATACAATAAAACAGATTTTTACCTTTTAATCTATTAATTATGATCTATTCATCAGTTTGTTGTATCTGTGTTTGTAGGGAGACGACGGAGAAGTTGGGCCCAGAGGTCTTCCAGGTGAACCCGTGAGTGTTTCCATAACAACCAAAGAGATTTAACATATTTATTTGTTATGTTTCTGTGTAATAAATATTGTATCTGTAAATATTAACATTACATGATCTGAAAAATATAAATTTGTGTTGAGTTTGGGGGTCAGGGTTTTATGCTGTCTGCTATCTGACTAGATGTTGCCGTTATGGTTCTTATCGGTTCTGGTTTCTCTCTCTCAGGGACCTCGTGGTTTGCTCGGACCTAAAGGTCCTCCTGGAGTCCCCGGACCTCCTGTAAGTAAAATTAGGTTTAACTAAATTACTGTTTTATTTTAGCTGCATTTGGTTTAATGTGTCTGAACAAACAACTGCGGCTACTGAAATCAAACTGTAGCCTCGGTTTCTCTGGAAGGAAATTCCAGTCTGAAATTTTAAATGAACATTTGATCGTTTCACATTCTTTTCTAAACAAAACAACATCCTTTGTATCGCAGGATAAACATGGATATGATATCAGACTCATTTCTCACTAATAGCATGAAGCTTTTTCCTTTAATTCATTACTTTAATGCAACAGAACAAGAATATAAACATTAATGATGGATATTCTGCTTTATTTGCTGATAAGTTCAGGTAAAGTATGTTTTAGACTTCAGCTGGTTTCAAATGATAAATTCTGTCTTCGCTGTTTCATTTTAGGGCGTTAGAGGAAATGATGGACCCCATGGCCCCAAAGGAAACCTGGTCAGTAACTCTCTGTAATCATCGTTTTTTTTATCTCTTTATGTAGTTTTCTATCCTCTGGTTGTTACAAATAAGTATTCAGAAATAAATTATCAGTGGTTTTATTCTGACTGTCTCTCTTCACTGTTTTTTCTGTCTTTCTGTTACTCAGGGCCCCCAAGGAGAACCAGGACCTCCAGGTCAGCAGGGAACTCCAGGAACTCAGGTGAGAAACAATCAGCTATCTATGAATTATGGACTCAGGTGTTTATTTTATCCATCCCGATAGTTTGTTTCAGTTACTATTAGGCTATCGGATTAAGCTGCATCTGATAGTCTTTAATTCTTTTAGTTGCAAAATATGTGGGATTGCTGACTTTCTTGTTTAGTGTTGTTTATTATCGAGTAATAAAATAACTATGAACTTTATTTTTTATCTAATTTTGAAAAAGGCATTTCAATAATCTCAGTCTCTTTAATGCCACCTTGCAGTTTACCTTCACCTAAATGTAAATGATAGACCAGAGTCAGGAATGGTTAAAGGTCAAAGATTATGTAACATAAAATACCTGCAGTGATTAATCAAATGTTTACCTTGGATAGTTTCAGTACAGCTTTGGCTGCAGCTAACAGCCTCAAACCCTGACATGTTTACATGGCTCTTCTGTGATTGACCAACATAAAGCAGAAATACATGCATCATAAAAACTATGCAAGTCACAACAGAAAGGTCAAGGAGAAAGATGTTGAGGTCCGAATAAGGAATAGGTCAGAAACTTTAATCTTTTCTGTGTTCTGGTCAGTAGTCTCAAAATCTTCCGAGTTCAGCAAAAATTTGACCTTCCAAGATCTAGAAGGTTTGAAATTATAAGCCACACAAAGTGGCAGAGAAGATAAAATAAGATAGATGTTATTGATCTCACAGTGGAGAAGTTTACTTGTCACATCGGCTCGACAGACAACGGAAGGCGCCAAAAGGAGGAAAAGGTGCCTGGGTTTAATACAATGCTGCTTTGATTGAGGAAACAGGTATTTGAAGAAGAGATCCACACAGGAGAATATGTAATGGAACAGCCGTTAAATATGCCCTTTACTAATGTGGCCTTTATGAAAACCCGTCTACAGTCTGACACAAACCATGTATGAAACAATGTTCAGATCAAAGAATGTTTATGCATTACTTTTACCGGTACCAACTGAGCTTTATCTGACTAACTGTGTGGTAATATTTATAGTAATCGATGTTCACAGAAACTCCACACAGGGGGTTAAATGTTTCTCTAGGTTCAAAAAGCTGCTTTAAAGATGCCCTAAAGGAAGTAAAGAAGTCACAAATAGATGAATAGAAGGCAATAGCTGCAGAATGGTGCAAATAAAAAAAATTGCTGTTGTTACAGAAAATAGTCAAAAAAAGGGAGTTACTATTCTGCATTGATTCCAACAAGAACAGCTTTAAAAAGCTGCAAACTTGCCCGAACAGAACAATGTAAGCCTGACCACTAGGGGGCGACAGATCGAAATATTTTTACTGTAGCTCTAAAAAAATATTGCAAAAACTGACCTTTTTTTATTTTATCAAACTTTCTGCTGGTCCTCCTGTTTATGCCTTTACTCTGGATTTGATCTCATCTTAATTTCTTTAAGTCTGCATTAGGATGCTTTTAAAAAAATAATTTCTACACTTTGGTTTGTTTCATAATTTCAGTAAGATTTAAACATTTGTTTTCTTTTTTTTGCAGGGATTGCCAGGACCTCAGGGAGCGCTTGGACCACCAGGAGAGAAGGTGAGAAGCCGGAAACAGTTTGAAGCTATTTTAGAAACCCTGACCTTTAGGGGAAAAAAAAAAAAACAGCTTTTACCAGAATTAGACTTTATTTTAGTAGTACAGAAATGCATAATAAATGGGTAAAAAATGCACTTAACTGGGCTGATTTTTCAGTCAGAAATCTAACAGATTAGCAAATTTATGCTCCATAACTTTGACTGTTTTTGTTCTTTTTTCTTGTTTTTTTTTCTGTTGTTTCTTTAACATTTAAAATAGCTAAATTTTTTTATTTCAGTTTCGTTTTTTTTAAAGAATCACAATGGAATAAACAAACTGTTTAAATTAATTAACTCTTCGAATGTAGAGAGGCAAAATGCTTAAAGGGTTTCTGCGAAAGTGAAATAAAGTAAAACAATAATTCAATAAAAATTTTATTATTGGACATTTAGGATAACAAAAACAGTAATGATAAAAGAAAAACAACATGTATGCAAATCCAAACTAACAATAGTTAATGTAAATATGAATAAACTTAAGAAAAGCACTATAAAACAATGGGAAAAAAACATTTATAAAAATACACCATATTTTTATATCAGTTTATGTTATATTATGCTAACATAATCAACAAAAACAAAGGTGTGATATTAACAGTACAAACATTTTTGTAACGCTGAAGAGACAAACTACTTCAAGACAAACAGGAAATCATGTAAAGGCCTTTTACTTTATGGGAAACCTAGAAATAAAAGAATTATATTTAAACAGTTTTAATCGCAAACGTTTTTAGGTCTGGAATATTCCTTTAATCAAAATGTATTGTATGAATAAAATTAGATATCTGTAATATAGTTTATTCTCCTCTCAAAGTTAAGAAACATTTCTCTGTAAAATTATCATGAGCCTTTCTTATTATACCAACATATTCACTGTTATCTGTTTATTTATATTTTATTATCACAGTCCGTATGACTTCTTTTCCTATCCAGACAACAAACCCAGTGAATGTTGTAGATGAAACCTGCAGTGTTTCCATAAAGGTCAAATACTCGAACAAACTGGATTAGTTTGAATTCCCTCAGAATAGGTTCCCTTAAAACTACGAAGCTTCAGCTAATAAACCAACACTGATGTCTTAATCAGTGAATTAAGACCTAAACTAGCATTAATCATTACTAGCTAAAACAACTTTGAATATTATTGTGGTTTAAATTTTTATACTTGAAGTAATTTATTAAGTTTATCTAGAAATAAAATCTGTCCTAAAGGGAACCTTGTGGGAGTCCAGATTGTAGATCAGGTTAATCAGTCATTTCTTATACAAGAAACAGTTTTTGGGTTAATTTATTTTATTTTTTTATAGACTTCTCCAAACCAAATCCATGCAGCTTTCTCACTTTTTATAAATTAAAGTACAACTATTTTGCTTCACTGACCCATGTAAAGAATAAAGTAAACAGTAAAGCCTTAAAAAAAACAGACTTCATATAGTTCAGCTCAAAGACTTTATATGTCCTCAGAAAGCTGTTTGTTTTTAGTGAGGGAAGAAGGTGGATGATGATCTTCTAGAAACTGTTGGTGACCCTCTGTAGAGCCTTGCTGTCTACCGTGGGTCAATCTGTGGAACATGAAGAGATTAAATCAGATTAGGTATCAGGCTCAGTGGATCAGCGCTACAATACGGCCAGCATCCCCTCAGGTTAAGACCTCTGATGATCGATACTGTACAGTACCGATACAGTATCAGGTCTTGCAGGCCAATAAAGACCATAATGACTCCCTATTGCTAAGGGGAGGACCTGTTCTGTCGGTTCCATTCGCATGTTTTCTAAGTCGTAACAAGGCTTTGCTGGGCTACTCTATAAAAGCCTGGAACTCAACGCTAATCCAGACATTTTAATTTGAGAAATTTTCCTGGATAGGAAGCGAAACGTCTTTGATCTTGGAAAACAAAGTCCAGTGGATTGCTTTTTTTTTAACTTTTTTTCTTTTTTGGAATTTTTGGAATATGAAACTATATTAATAGATCAACCTTATTGAATCTAAAGCTCGTGGAGTGACGATATGCTGACAGCAATCTATAAAGGTTCTCTCACCATCACCTTTCTTATAGGAATAGTTGTTCTAAACGTTTCAATATAGCCGAATCACTCATGTGTAATGGTGCAGCATGGATCACTATGCTGGAGGCTTTGCAACTGATAGAATGAGGAGGGAGCCCATTTTTAGGGATTACGATTATTTCCTGACCCATAATGATGACTGGGTTACGAGTGGATTCAACTCCCTAGATTAGAGAATTGCTTTTGGTTATATATATATATGCTGAGCAAGAGAGTGATCTATAAGACCCACACCATCCCTGTTCGTCACAGGTGTTAAAAAAATGGAGGCACAACTCCAAAGAAAAAAAAAATAGCTGGGAGAAAATGGACGCGGCGTCATGTACAGTCAGATTATTAAAAATAAAAAATAATCCACCAAAGTTTAGAAAACACCTAAATATAATTACCCAATGTAGCTGAATTATGACAAGTTTGCCCAAATTAAATCTTATAGATTGATCCACTTTTTATGTTATTGCTTTGTTTAGTTTTTTTATTATTATTTAAATTATTATTATCAATTTCAGCTGTTAACCACTCTGGGGTTCCTGCGAAACACCTTTTTTTAAACACAACACTCTGATTGAAGCAAAGAGTTACAGGAGTTAGGGGCAGAATAATTCAATAAAGTGTTTAATTCTGTAATTTAAAATAATTCTTTGAAATTATCCATAAATCTGAGATAATCCAGCCAGTGATGAGCGCAATGCTGCCTGGAAGTCCAGGTTAATATTAGTTCATACTTCAGACTCTGAAGGTGACTTTATTTAATGCTTTCTTTCATTTACTGTGGCTACCAGACAGATTTATCTGACCTCACTCACCAACACATCAACCTCTGCATCTGTTACCATTAATTAACATTAATCAGGCTCATTAACAAACACAATGACATTCATGCAGTGCTTTGTTTGGATCATTTATGTCTAAATGTGGACGTTTATTGGGACAAACATGAGGTGATGCAAACTTTGAGGAACAGCAGGAGAAATGCTTGGTTTTGAGCTTGAACCTGGTTTATAGACCAAGATTTATAAAAAAATAAAAATAAACAATTATAGCAGTTTATGCCATTTTCTGCTTTTTGTTGTACAAACCATTTTAGTATAAATCCTTTTCTAAATGAGACCCAGAAGCTTTGCTCTCAGTCTGTATGTCAGTGTAATGTTAGAAACAGAGATAAAGTTTACATATAGCAGTGTTTCATGGAGCTCTTGATGTTTAATGTGGGATTTGATAGAGTGGAGCACAGTGATGTGTTCAGTTGATGTTAGCTCTATATGCAAACTGCAGTCGGTATTCTATGAGGCTGCTGACTGGCAGCAGGACGATGATGAATGACAAAATTTATAAAGTTTCTTCAGATTTCTCAATTATGAAATTCACCTTGGAAAATAATCTCATTACAAATATGTTCCTACAAAACACAATCTAATTTCCTTATTGATGTTAAATGCATCAAAACAGCTTCCCTCTCTATTACCAGCTATTTGTTTATAATATATTTTAATTGATTTTGTCTGCAGGGGCCCACTGGAAAACCAGGTCTGCCTGGGATGCCAGGAGCTGACGGTCCTCCTGTAAGTTATTCTGATTGGTTTTATAATAACTGAAATGAATCTATTCAAAACTAAGCCTAGAGGGGTGTTTGTTTTATGTATAGGGTCACCCAGGAAAGGAGGGGCCACCTGGCACCAAAGGAAATCAGGTGGGTTGTTCTCTACCTTCATCCATGATTTTTCTTTTTTTATGAAAAAAAAAACCCAACATATTTAGACTTTGTAAAGTGAAAAGAAGAAACTTGAACTGATTCGTAATTTTTTAACTCCTCTTTTGATTCAATCTTCAGGGTCCAAACGGTCCTCAGGGAGCTATCGGCTATCCTGGCCCTCGGGGTGTAAAGGTCGGCACGTTTTATTTATATTTAACAAGCTCTTCACTTAAAATTATGTTTTTTTGCCTCAATATAAAGACATTTTAGTTTTGGGGAAATCATACATTGCATTTAAAGTAAAATAACCTGAGCCATTGTAGAGGTTCTTGTTTCCCATTTTCCATATCAGTGCACTGATAACGTTATCCTCTGATTTCAGGGAGCTCAAGGAATCCGTGGTTTAAAGGGTCACAAAGGAGAAAAGGTAAAACATTCATGCTTTAATTCCTCCATAATGACAAACATCATGCAAACATGGTGACCTGCTGTGTTTTACTTTAGTGACTAATAATATCCACCTAACACAAACAATATGAGGCTTGTTCTAAACTTTAATGTGTTTTTATTTTACCTTCAGGGAGAAGATGGTTTCCCAGGAGTTAAAGGAGACTTTGGTGTTAAAGGAGAGAGGGTAAAATTAATTATACCTCCTACTGGATTAAACATGAACTGATTGGAATTCATTAAATTTTATTATATTGATCATTTCATGTTTTACTTTGTGTGGTTACTTTCCATATATAGACATTTGGTGACTGAAGGCTTTGTTTATTATTCTGGTTGTAGGGGGAGATCGGACTGCCAGGACCCAGAGGAGAAGACGGTCCAGAGGGGCCAAAGGGACGTGTGGGGCCCCCTGGTGAGCTTGGACCACTTGGCCTGGCTGGAGAGAAGGTATTGACCTTTAATCAGGACCAGTCAAAATATCAGAATTCTATCGATCAATTATTTACTACTTTTTATTTATGAAAAAAAATCAATGTTACTGTAAATTCCACTATTTTATGCTGCAAGTAAAAAAGTTACCCACATATTTACAGCATAAATTTAAGCAGAGATTATTTAAAATCTGGCAGATTTAGGTTTAACATGGTAACACAGAACAGTAACAGCTTGGAGCCTGAGCTCTGACTTGGATCTGATCTAGAATGAACTAAAGATTAGGGTGATGGAACGGAGGCCTCTCAACCTGAGAGATTTGGAGCTTAAATGTTGAGATAAACCATCTAAATACCAGAATAATAATCAATTAAAAAATAAAGGTTTGATAGCTCTATTGTCAATAAAATGAATCCATTGGTCATTGAGGACAATATTAATAGTTTTTGACAAGCTTTTCTTTATAAAATGTCAAAAAGAAACATATTTTTTTTGATTGATCATCCTATTAGATTTTCAGTTTTGATAGAGATCTGTCTCATTTCTAATCAGAAATAAACACAGTTTTATAAAGTTTATTTTGACTACGTTTGCCAGGATTAGTAAATTTCCTCTAAATTGAAATTTCTTAAAGATCAATTAATAGAGACATTATGCTGCCCTCTTTTGGTCATGTTACATTAATATATAATGTCATAATCACTACAGTTGTTATTGTTTCTTCTTTGTGTATTTAAACAATTTAAGGCAGTTTTATTTGGTGATATTACAGTACTATCTTATGTCAGTTGCTGTATCATCCCAAATTGCAGTTTTATTTAAGTCCTTTTCTATTTGTTGCATATAGCTCTGCCTACTAGTCTCTTCTGTTATGTTTTCTATTACAAACCGTGGCTGTTTTGATCATTTTTAAAAGTTATAGAAGTGACGAAAAAAGATGGATGGGTTCTGTTATTAAATGCTGCACTTTTTTTCCTTCAGGGTAAACTTGGTGTTCCTGGACTTCCTGGATATCCTGGAAGACAAGGGCCAAAGGTAGAAATGTACATCATGATGTATTAAGTTAGTAATTTCTTTAAATATTTGCTGATATTAAGATTCTTTCTTCTTTTTTTAGGGATCTCTGGGATTCCCTGGATTTCCAGGGTCAAACGGAGAGAAGGGAACAAGGGTAAGATAATTTACCTGATCAGATATTATTTTCAGCTGAAATAATGATGTGATTTTGCATTTAGTTAAATTGCATAATTCACCACTCAATATTTTGCAGATTATTTTATGTAGAGTCTAATCATTTAGCTTACACCTCTGTTTAAAATCTTTTTATTTGTTTAATCAGGGTGTTACTGGAAAACTGGGACCAAGAGGACAAAGAGGACCAACGGTAATTATAATTTACCTTATTATCAAGCTGAAAAAAGCTGCACAATTTGATAATTTTATTCTGCAAAGAAAAGAAAATTCAACTGAACAAAGACCAGAGAATAATTTTAATGATAATTTTACTTTTGATGTCATTCAGCAACATTTTTAACTGTTGCTGCAGTTCGAGATTGAACCTCCAGGGGTCAGCAGAGAACCCTGTGTCTGCAGCTATTATTATTGTAGTAACATGAATATCATGGTTATGATTTATTTTAATGACATAATAGATTCTGCAGAGTTTATTGTTATTCTATTTTTCTTTTACTTTTATTTTTTATTGAATATTGATCAATAATTGGTGCTTATGTCTTTCAGGGCCCAAGAGGCCAGAGAGGACCGAGGGGAGCGACAGGGAAAGCAGGAGCAAAGGTTGGTTTAAACAATAATTCAGTCCAAACTGTCCAGAAGAACTGCATCCACATGTTTTCTTTACTACTGATATTTATTATTTAATCTATTGTTTTTTTAAAGACCTGAGCTAAAACATGTCATTACATCTGATTCATGTAAAACCTCTACTGGACTGAAGCTGAGCCAAAACAGGAAAATGTGTCATTTTCTGTTTGTTCAATTAATTATGTTATGTTTTAATTAGGGAACTTCTGGAAGTGATGGCCCCCCAGGTCCTCCTGGAGAGAGGGTGAGTGCTAATTTATGTTCCTCTGAATGGTAACTCTTTGCTGTAAATCTGCCAGTTCAAACCGTTTCACACACTTTTTCAGTCACATAGTGTCTGTTTCTAACAAATATCATATTCTCTGATAAACCAGGGTTTGCCTGGACCTCAGGGAGCCAATGGCTTCCCTGGACCCAAAGGACCTCCTGTAAGACATTTTAATAAAATGTTTCTTCAGCTTCTTCTGAACTTTCCATTATTTCCTTGCTTATTATTTTAATTAATGTTACAGGGACCCCCAGGAAAAGATGGGCTGCCTGGACATCCTGGACAGAGAGGAGAAGTTGTACGTTTTATTCATCTTTATTTAATTATCCATTTCATTATTTCTAAAACTTGAATTTAGAAGTCGGAGTTTGAGGTAAATGTGTTTCAGTTTCCTGCTTGTGGATCCTTGTCTTCTCCACGGCTCCACTGCTAAAAGCATGATATAGCATTTAAACATGTTGTCCTCTAAACACGAATAAAACCTGAACAACTGAACTATTGCTGCAAACAGAATAAAAAACATTTCTGCAAATAACCAGAGAAGAAAAGAGAAGTTTAATAACATCCTGTTGCTCTTTCCTTCTCACAATTACGACTTTCAGAGTGTTCCAGTTGAAATTCACAATTTGATTGTTGTAAATGTTGTCTCCTAGTGACAAATGTATGATACTTTTTTTTTTCCTGACCTGTGAACATTAGAGACATTCAGACTGCCTGAATGTCTTTATGTTTGTTAAACATTTAGCAATTAATTTATTCTATTAAATTATGAAATTTTTGAATTTTTTTTTTTTTTTTTTAATCACTACATGTTACATTAAATCACATGTTGAGCTTCCTTCAGCAAAACCTAAACATCATTTAATAAGACAAGATCTTACAAACCAAATGGAAACCAAGTGCCATATGGGTAAAAAAAAAATCTACAAAAAGCAATAGTATAAATAAAATACAAGGTGAATAAAATAAGCAATAAAATAAGCAGTAATATCATAAAAGCAGTGTTTGTGTAAACCGGCCACCCATTGGTTTTATTTGGAGTTAAAATACTAAAAGAAACCAGAAAAGCTTAAAGATCCAACAGAGATCCCAGAAAGAAAGCAACTGTTTCAGAATCTAGGAGCTGAAATCTCCATCTTCTCTGATCCTGAGCAAAGATCTGGAAAAAACTGATAACATTTAATCAAGAAATAAAGGTGATATAAAGAAGACATCTTGTCCCCATTAGAAGAACAGGAAAGCTGTTGAAATGAAACATAACATCATCGAAAGATGATCAACGTTGTTTTAACTAATGATGTTTAAAGCTAGACTGGACTAATGCATTGATCTGTTTACTGGATTTAATTTAATCTGAATCAAGAATTGAGATTTCTGACAGAGACCCAGATGATTCAGCAGCTTCATTGTCAGCAGGTCAGATCAGAATAAAACAACCTCAGTCTGTTTGTCGTTGAGATTAACAAAGTTCAGCTTCATCCAAAGCAAACTTTCTATTAAGGTCCTGGATTAATAGGAGCTATTTTAGCTTTACAGACGTCAGGAGTCAGCAGAGTTTCTCTGAATTAATATTCTCACAGATTACTGAAAACTCAAACATTTTAAACCAGTTTTTTTTTTTTTTTTATCTTAGTCAGTTTAAATCAAACTGTGGTGACCTCATGAATCGATGTGATGTTTCTCATCAGGAAGCTGCTTGTTTAGTATTTTCACCTGCGTTTTTCTCCTGCAGGGTTTCCAAGGTAAAGTGGGTCCACCTGGACCTCCTGGAGTCGTAGGACCTCAGGTGAGTTCATCTATCTTACCGCTCATTTTTCATTAATTCTGCTATAAATGTAATTTTGTTTAGTGTTTATTACTGCTTTTCTTAATTTTCTACCTACATGTCTCAGTTTTGATCTTACCTCTACATCTAAAACTTTCTTCCACCTCCATCCTTTTAGGGTCCATCAGGAGAAACTGGCCCCATGGGTGAGCGAGGCCATCCTGGCCAGCCGGGTCCACCTGGAGAGCAGGGTCTTCCTGGTCCATCAGGAAAGGAGGGAACCAAGGGTGACCCTGGACCTCCAGGAGGCCCTGGGAAGGACGGGCCCCCGGGTCTGAGAGGGTTCCCTGGAGAGAGAGGTCTTCCTGGAACCCCTGTGAGTAAAACCAGGAGAAAGACAGAAAACTGCAAGAATTATAAATATCAAAACAATCTCAAAGGAGAGTTTTTTGGGTTTTTTTTACTTCTTAAGAAATGTAAATATTTTTCATGTGTATCTAAATAAATTATAAGTAAAAGAAGATCTGGACTATTTCACATCACAATGTAGTTCAGACCAACTATTCCCCACTCAGACCTACATGCTGGGCTAGTTGTAAAAACTAGATGATATTAAATGTGCTTTCTTGGCTAAAAACTAAACTTATTTCCATTTATCTGCTCACTATTATTTCATCTGCTAGATTCAGTCTGTTAAAGTAAAAATGAAACTTTTTGTTCAGGTTTTTAGAAGATTAACACAGTTTGGTTGTCTTATAGAAACATGCATGTTACATTTCCAAAATGTAAACACTAACTGCAAATTATTCTTCATTATTATTTTAATCCTTTTTATAAACAAAATTAGAACTGAGATCCTCTACATTCTGATTGGATAATGCTTTTGAAAAAAGATTAGAAGCTCATCAGTAAAAAAATGTGATAATTTCATTTTCTATTAACAGATGTTGTCATCCTATTTTATAAGCCAGGAGAGCAGCTGCCTTCTGGTTGTTTTGCATCAGGATCATTATCATTTTATTAGTATTCTGTTCCTTTTTTTCCATCAGTAGTTTGGAGGAATTATGAAAATAACTAGAAAATTTCTAAACAAATATAGAAGGGGCCGGCCACTTGGTGCACAATATTTGACCTGGCACCAAAGGCTTAATGGGGTTAGTTGGGTTCACCTTACATCAGGTAAGAGGGAGAAACCTTGTGTCGGCCTGAGTCACCTTACCAGGTGGCAACTTCCTTGTTTATGCTTGATGGCGACTGAAGTCACAACACCTAGTGACGACTGGCATCGCCAGACTTAGTCATGACTGGGATCATAATAAAGATCCCTATAATGCAATGATTTGCTCAGTATATTATTTAGGTTTTTATTTTGTAGAGCACCTGGTGTCTTATTTTGATGGTCTTAAGCATATGTTCAGACTCTTCAGCGATATCAAATGCGTTTACAATTGTGGTAATTGGCTTTGTTAGTATAATTTCAAGAAACTGGTTGAGTTTGGGTCACAACAATGAGCCGTATGCCTACATGAATTAGTGTGTGTAATGAAGAGGCCTCTATTTTACAAAGCATTGACTGCTCTCCTATGCTATGCTTATGGTAGGCCCCAAATATGGTGAAGTTTAATTAATTCACTATAAATGTTGTTTAAATGTGAGCCAATAAAAGTGTCTGAAATGAAAATCAGAAAACTTTACTTTGGCACAGAGAATTTATCCTGAAGGAGGCGGCCTGGTAGAAGGAGCCTGATGAGGCCTAAAGACCATCAGAGACAGAAGCATGATTAGATATTGGTATCAATTAATGTAAAGACCAATGTTGGTCAGTTTTAAACATAAGTAAAACTGGACTGATCGTAACTTTAAGTGTTTATTTTCTTGTAGTTCCTGTTTTTATTTCGGGGAGGTGATCCCTCCTGTACTATCAGTAAGCCAGGTGATAGTGATTGTGTTGCAGCCCAGGATTGTGGGTAGTTAAAAAAGGCAGAAAATTAATGTCAGCACTTTCCCATGGTGTCCAAAGGGTTAAGATTTATGTACGAAATGTTTTTTTTTAATAAGTTCCTAGTCTGGAGGGTCTGATTTGATTCTTCTTATTTCTTTAATTCTGATTCAGACATTTAAAAATTCTGTAGCACATATTAATTTATAAAACATTCAGGAAGTGGAAGAAACTGTTGGCATTTAAAGCCCAATGTTTAGAAGGAGATAAAAAGGCAGAGCTGCTTCTAATGGTTTAAATTATCTGTTCTTCATTTTATGACCAGAAATTTGTTTTTAAGGCTTTTTCCCCTTTATCTAGAATAAAGTATGTGTCTTTAGACTTAAACTTCTTTTTTCTGATGTTTACTTCCAGGGCGGTGGAGGACTGAAGGGAAGCGAAGGCCCTCCTGGACCTCCTGGACCTGCTGTATGTTCCATCTAATAAGTTTATATTAATATTTAAATAATCAAAACTCAATGATCCTTCATTTAGAGAACATCTACTGTGATCATGGGTTTGTAGGGTTCTCCTGGTGAGAGGGGCCCAGCTGGGACTGCTGGAACCGTGGGACCTCCTGGCAGACCAGGTCCACAAGGACCTCCTGGACCAGCTGGAGAGAAAGGAGTTCCGGTGAGATAATCAGATGTTTTTCTTTATCTGTGGTGAAGCATCGTGGACCTAAAGACTCATTTAGATCAAAATGTTTGACTGCAGGAAAATAAAACAGGATATTTATGTTTCTTTCTCCTGTTAAGGGAGAAAAAGGACCTATTGGCCCAGCGGGTCGGGACGGAGTCCAAGGACCAGTGGGTCTGCCTGGACCTGCTGGATCACCAGGAGTACCAGGAGAGGATGGTGATAAGGTCAGTAAATCAAAGTCCAACGTTTTATTTAACAGATTTAAAGCACATTTACGGCTCAAAACTGTAGATAAAACTGTAGAAAAACTGAACATGTTAAATGACAAAGTTTTGGTTTGGATATTTTTGGGTTCTGTATCTTTAAACTAATCTGATGTTCTTTTGTTGTTTCAGGGCGAAGTTGGAGAACATGGTCAGAAAGGCGCCAAGGGAGGAAAGGGAGAACATGTGAGTGACGCTGATAAAAGCTTCTTATTTTAATAATAATCAGAGTCAAATATTTAAACTTGTTTCTCCGCTGCATCATCGCTGCTTTGCTAATAGTTTATTGTTTCCTTAGGGTCCTCCTGGTCCCCCTGGCCCCATGGGTCCAGTTGGTCAGCCCGGCCCTGCTGTGAGTCCAAACTTTCTTCTATTTATTCCTGATTGTTTCAACTTTGTGTTTCTGATTGTTGGTTGATGTGTTTGTATCGTTTTATCTGTACTGCAGGGAGCAGATGGAGAACTTGGACCGAGGGGCCAGCAGGGGCCTTTTGGAGCTAAAGGTGATGAAGGAACTCGAGGGTTCCCAGGGGCCCCGGGACCAATCGGACTGCAGGTAAAAGCAGCCTCAAGGTTTAAAGATAACTGTATTTAGAAACCATCTGAGCTGCTCTTCAGTATCTCTAAACTTCCCTACTGATTGAAATCCTTCAGCTAAAGAGTTTTTATCCAACTCTTCTGTTCTACAGGGACTGCCGGGCCCCCCTGGTGAGAAAGGAGAAACAGGCGACGTTGGCCCCATGGTGAGTCTAACTGAATCATCTTAGTTATTTTATGACCAAAGATGTTATTTCTCCTTTATAATAAACCATAACCAACAATAAACCCAAACCTCTTCCTGTCTCCAGGGTCCACCAGGCCCTCCTGGACCCCGCGGTCCTGCTGGTCCCAGTGGAGCTGACGTAAGTTCAGAACTTTACTTCTAGTTTCCTAGTTGTTGGTTTCTAATAAAGTATGATGATTATTAGGATCCAAACTATCTTCATCAGATCATCTAATCTGTGTTTCAGGGTCCTCAAGGTCCTCCTGGTGGTATAGGAAACCCTGGACCTCTTGGAGAAAAGGTGCTGCGTTATAAGAAAAGTTTAGAGACTTTCATAAGGGAGCTGGTTTAAATATCTGTTTTCTATCCTTCAGGGAGAACCTGGTGAAGCTGGACCTCCTGGTGTTGGAGGAGAACCTGGAAAGAAGGTAGGAACCTGAGAGTCCAACCAGAACACTTAGGCTGTGTTAAAACCGGACTTTAACTCCGCTTTAAATGGACTAGAGCTTGTTTCCAACCTGGTCCAGACCTTATGTTCAAGTGTGAATAGACTCATGTCCAGAAAAGGAAACCGGACCACAACTGACTCTGAGGTAGTCTCGGTCGCTTCCAAACAGACTGTGTTGCGGTTCGGTCCTGATGAGAACTTTGATCCTTGATCCATCGAACAACAGAAATCATACATTTTTTGGGACTAGAAATGCCACCATAGAGGTGAACAATATATTGAAATGCTACATGATCCACTGCCTGTTACTTAGCAATGCTACTGCTGGCAGCAGTGGTTCTCCAAAGCTTGCAAGACACATTTAAAAAAAAAGCGTAATAAAATGCATGAATCTATAGTTAATGTGCTGCTCTTGACATCAGCAGTGATTTTTACATCTGTAATAACAGCACAAAGGTTGTGCATCAAACAGATGATCGAGACATGTAGGCCAAGAAATGTACAATGGGACATATAGAGTGGGATGTGTACATCGGGACGTGTAGCCTGGGACATGTAGACCGGGACATGCAGAGTGGGAAGTGTAGAACAGGAAGTGTTGACCAGGACATGTAGAGTGGGACTTGTAGAATGGGATGTGTAGAGTGGGACGTGTAGAATGGGACATGTAGAATGGGACATGTAGAGTGGGATGTGTAGAACAGGACATCTAGAGTGGGACGTGTAGAGTTGGACATGTACGTAGAGTAAGACTTGTAGACTGGGACATGCAGAGTGGGACATGTAGACTGGGATATGTTGAGTGGGATGTGTAGACCAGGACCTGTAGTGTGGGACGTGTAGAATGGGACATGTAGAGTAGGACGTGTAGTTTGGGACATATAGACTGCGATGTGTAGACTGGGGTGTGTAGATTGGTACATGTAGGCCTGGACATGTACGGTGGGACGTGTGGATTGGGATGTGAACAGGTGTGTTGGTGTTGGCAGGGACCCCGTGGAGAGCGTGGAGAGAAGGGAGAGGCTGGACAACCTGGAACTCCTGGACCTGCAGGAGGAAGAGGACGACCTGGAGATGATGGACCCAAAGGAAACCCAGTAGGACACGATAAAACCCAACCGGGCCAGCTTAGTGACTTTAGGTCTTCTGATCTCTGCCAGAAAGTAACGTTTGTTTTCCATCTAACTTCAGGGTCCAGTTGGGTTCCCTGGCGATCCTGGTCCCCCTGGTGAGGTCGGACCCAGAGTAAGTTTGTTTCAGGGATTCAAGTTTATATTGTTCTTTTTTTATTGATGTTAATTCACTTCAGCAGCTACTGCTATCATCCTGTAATGGATGCATCAACAGTCTCACTGTGATTTTGTTTTCAGGGTCAAGATGGGGCCAAGGGTGAGAGAGGAGAGGACGGTGAACAGGGCGAGTCGGTCAGTAAATGATGAAACACTGCAGATCTCAGGATTAAACATTTTATTGTGACTGAAACTGAAAAACATTATAAAATCCAGAAAAAATCAGTTTGTTTTTGCTCATGAGAAAGATTCATTATTAAGAGATACACATTTAAAGTTCTAATTTCTTACAAATTTAATGATGAAGGCTGCAGGGAGTATAAAGCTAAAATTCAATGTCTCAGAAAATATTGCAAAAGGTATTTTTTGAAAGCATATGTTGATTTTTTTACTTATTTAGAGGTCAGTACATCTCTGCAGTACAAGTATAATAACCCAAGTCAACTTCTAAGTAGTCTTCCCTTAACTCTCTACTGTGCAGATTTTTTTATATCCACAGAAAACATATTCCAGGACATTTCACATTTTTCCTTTTTTTATAGCTTTTTTGTACTATATACACTCTTTTTATAATGTCTGTCATATTTTTATCTTTAATGGCATCTTGCTTTAACTCTTTGTACTCTATATAACCTACTGGAACCAAAATTTCCCTGAAGGAGTAATACCAACACTGGAAAAACAATCTAGAAATGACAAAAAATATCCTAACTTAAGTGTATTTACCCTTTTTTTGAGTAGGTAAATGAGATAGTTTGCCAATCGAATTAGTAATTTTACTCTTAAAACAAGATCATTAGATAACATGCACTTGAAATAGGACAATGCAATTGTCTTCTCTTATTTTAACTGTAAATTGTCTTGTTCCATTGGCAAAATGTCTTTTACGTCCTCAATCCAAGAACAAATGCTCTTATTTTAAGAAAAAATGATCTAGATTTCAATTTTTTCCAGTTAAGGGATAAATAAAGTTGAGTCTACGTAGTAGTACTGTCCCGCTCTGCTAAAGGTTCCAACAGCTGGTCCAATTAACAATATGGTACTGTGGTTAATTGGCCAGAGGACTGATCTGACCAGAACCACTTAGATAATCTAATGCCAAGAAGACACCAGAACAAACAAGACCAATGACTTTAAAAGCAGCGATCAGAACCTGGGCTTCCAGAACACCTGAGCAGAACCACAGGCTGATCAATGGAAATAAATGTAATTTCTTTATATAGAGCCGTACCACAAATCAGCTTTAAACTGCAGTCAGTCATTCAGACTCTGGTGGTGAAGCTACAGCTCTTCCTGACAGAAATGCTTCTTTTCAGAAACCAGTCTTTTATATTCATCATATTGTTTGGTTTTTTATTGATCAAATAAATATGACCATTTTCTGAGACATTGAACTTTGGTTAATGAATCATAAATTGCATCAATTTAGACTTCCTGAAATGAGTACAACATACTTTCAGCTTTTTCATAATATTCCAGCTGTTGGAGATTAAACCTGAATAATTTAGTCCTCTTAATATTAACGCTTCATTTCTCTATGTGACAGGGCTCCCCAGGACCTCCTGGTGAGAACGGACCACCCGGCCCACCTGGGAAGAGGGTGAGACCACCTTCATTGTTTGATTGCTTCTGCCTCTGATAAGCTGGAAGGAGTTAAAATCTCCTTACCTTAAAAAATCACTGAATGAATTAACGTTTTATAGATTAATTTCTCGGTTTTAAACATTTCTTTGTGTTTAACATGTCAGGGTCCCGCTGGAACGAGAGGACCAGAAGGACGACAAGGAGAGAAAGGAACCAAAGTGAGTCCTCAGCATTTAATTCTGTTTATTCTAGATGATCTTTATGTCTTATAAATATAAACTATAATTTTTTAAAAATGTTATTTTTTTCTGGTTTCTGTGGAAAAAAACATTGTGAAGTATAATAAAAATGACACATGGATAAAAAAAATTGTTACATATGTTTCAATTTGAACAAAAACATATTGCTTTATTAACAAACTGGAACATTAATAATGGATATGAAATAGAAAGAGCAACAACATGAGCTTCAGTGCACTAATGAATCAGTAACACATTTATCTTCTACCCCGGCCAATAACTAGTTCTAACCAAACAATGATGGAGAAATGAAAGACAGAAAAAGCCCAAGATAGTCGGTAACAATGATGTTTAAATGGGTTTTAGGAAAATATTTCAATTTACTGTTAGATATAAAAATCATCAAAGCCTGAATATTTTCTGAAAGGGTTAATTTCCAACAACCTGATGTAAAATATATAAATAGATAAATTGAGAAAAAAGGGAAACCTTTAAAATTTTATAGCTGGACCAAGAATAAAGTCTATAAGAACAAAAAAGTTACTCAATTATACAACAAACTGATCTATTTACACACACTTTAAAGGTTTTACACTAGATATATAATGTTTACCTCTCTGACGTCACAATTTGTAAAGTTTTCACATTTTTTAATATCAACACACACCTCAGAATAATTAAACAGAGCATCCAGATGTTCCACAGTCTGGCTTGGCACCGGCTGCACTTTATGGAAATACTACCTTTCTATCTGCTACCGGCGCTTTTAGTTTTGTCTGCATGAGTCTATTAAAAGGTTTTTATGGCTTTTGGAAAATATAGATTCTTGATTATGAATGTTGTCATTTTTCACAGGGAGGCCCAGGAGCTGTTGGCCCTCCTGGAAAGACGGGCCCTGTTGGCCCCCAGGGTCAGCCAGGAAAACCAGGAACAGAGGGCCTCAGAGGTCTGCCAGGATCAGTGGTGCGTTCAGGGTTTCATTTGATTAATATCTATATTAGAAAATGCAAAAACCAAACAACCATCTGTGTTTTTCTTTTGTTCAGGGTGAGCAAGGAGCTCCAGGAGCTGCAGGACAGAAAGGCCCCCCTGGACCTATGGTGGGACCATTAAATCCTTTTTAGTTTTGCTGCTTTATAAACTTTCCAAAGCTGAACTCATTTCTGTGGTGATTTTTAGTTTCTCATCTTTCTCTTGTCCTCCTGCTCTATAGGGACCTCCTGGTTTGCCTGGTCTGCGTGGAGAACCTGGTGCAAAGGGAGAGAAGGGACACCAGGGTCTGATTGGTCTGATTGGACCTCCAGGAGAGCAGGGAGAGAAAGGAGACAGAGGTCTGCCCGGACCGCAGGGATCCTCTGGACCCAAAGGAGAGCCTGTAAGTTTGATATCTACAAACTTCCTGCTGGTTTCAAAATAAATGTCCACCTTGTAAATATTTCTGCCTCATCCTGTGTTTAATATCAGGGAATGTCTGGAGGCGCCGGACCTCTGGGCCCTGCTGGTCCTCCTGGTCTTCCTGTGAGTCCTGATACAGAAACATCCTACAAACATCTCATCTTTTTATTTACCTGATTTAGATTCGGTTTATTAAATCAACACTTTTATCTGTTTCCAGGGACCCCAAGGTGTCAAAGGAGCAAAGGGAGCAACAGTAAGTTAAACCACTTAAATCATGTCAGTTTTTCAAAAATTATAAAAATGAAAACATGGATTTTATATCTGACTCTGTAATCCTTCAGGGAGGATCTGGTCCAAAAGGAGAAAAGGGAGTACAGGGACCTCCTGGGCCTCCTGTAAGTAGCTCCTGCTGTTCTCAAACCTCCATCTGGTCTCCAGTCGTGGGTTAGAACCTAAACTTGCTTCCAGGGTCCACCAGGCGAGGTCATCCAGCCCATCCCCATCCAGAGGAGTCCAAAGTCCAAACGCTCCATCGATGCCAGCAAGATGATGCCAGAGTTCGACCCGGACATGCTAGCGTCCGACACCGCCGGTACCGAGTTCATGATGGGCAGCGAGGGCATGGAGGAGATCTTTGGTTCTCTGGATTCACTGCGGCAGGAGATCGAAACCATCCGGTTCCCTCTGGGCACCCAGGACAGCCCCGCTCGGACCTGCCAGGACCTGCACCTCAGCCAGCCGGACCTCCAGGACGGTACAGAAACAAGTCCAAATGTTACCCACCAGACTGTAGCCATCTTTGACGCTGATTCGTATTTTAGACTTAAAAAATTAAACCTTAAAGACTTTAAAGCTAAAAATTATCCAACAGACAAACAGACTGTAACCTGAGGTTTCCATTTTATTTTTCCTGTAGGAGAATACTGGATCGATCCCAACCAGGGCTGCTCCAGAGACTCCTTCAAGGTCTACTGTAACTTTACTAAAGGAGAGACGTGTCTGTACCCCAGGAAAGGCGTCGACTCGGTGAGTCAGAATCATTAAAAGATTTTCTGCTGGAGGAAACATGAGGGAGAAGTTTAAACCAGATCTTTTGAATCATGAGTTTATTTGAAAGTTCAGATCCAGGTTTTAGATCAGCTGTTTCTGGGTGTAGAAATGTTTTCCTACAGACTCCATGAAAAACTCCAACCAGACTAGTTTAACTTCACTAACGTTCTGCTGATAATTCTGATGGCAGGTGAAGATGAGCTCCTGGAGCGGAGAGACTCCCGGCTCGTGGTTCAGTCAGTTTTCTGCTGGCAGTAAGGTCAGTGAGCCTCTGCTTTCAGTGTTTATTTTCTCTTCAGGACTCCACTGAGCTTCACCGTTTCTCCTCCATCTTTCCTTCCTCAGTTCTCCTACATGGACTCTAACGGCGAGCCCGTGGGGGTGGTCCAGCTGGGCTTCCTGCGTCTCCTGAGCGTCCAGGCCCGTCAGAACCTCACATACCACTGCCACCGCTCGGTGGCCTGGGCCGACCGGAGCGCCAAGAACAACCACAAGAGGGCGCTGCACTTCAGAGGAGCGAACGACGAGGAGCTGAGCTACGAGACCAACCCTTACATCAAAGCGCTGGTGGACGGCTGCTCTGTGAGTCCGAAGCTCCTCTCAGTCCCATTGGTTCTCTGACAGATCGTTTCCTCAGAGGTTCAGACAAAATGACCAAACTGCATCATTTACAGCTCTACTTTTGAGTTATGTGAAAGAGTAATAGTTTGGTTCGTTTAGGGCGGGACTGCTGGCATAACGCTGAATGATCCATTGGTTGTTGGACAGAAAGACGTCACGCTATGAAGATATGATGCTAGACTAGCAATTTGGTATAACCCCTTCATATCCAGTGGCTAACACCCCCTAACCACAGTGAACCGAACAGAAACAACTCAGTGGAAACAAAGTGACTTGTTCTGACATTATACCAACACAAGTTTTAGTGATATTACATTTAGGTTCACCTCTGGCTCTAATAAGAGCCTTCATCTTCATCATCCTCATGATCAGATCTATTTATTCTGCTTTAGCTGCCTTTTACCACGTGACTAACGTCATGCTCAGACATGTTACTATGCCTGCTTATTGATGAAAGGTTATTAGCAGGTTGCTGGTCCGAACCGGGGAAACAGAAACACAGACCGAACAAAGAACCGTTCACCCTCACTTACACCCACGGCCAGTTCCGAGACCAGTTGACCCAAAATGCATCTTTTTACACTGTGACAGGAAAACAGAGTAGCAGCTGCAGGTTTCTGAAAAGGAAGGATGGTTAATGGTGTTAATTTAATCCAAACATCCTATACTGCTTTAACAAACATTGAAACACATAAACCCATCAATACAAAGGCTGAAAATAGCTGTTATGAAGTGCTCTGAAATAATAAACTCCAGAAACTACAGCAAGAGTTCAACACAAGATGAATGATGTGACTGAATGATAAAATTTCCTCTCTAGTCTCATGAGGGAAACCTCCCCCCATTTGGCCACTATCAGTTAATTCTTTTAACTTGTTCCACCAATCAGCATCGAGCTGCCAGCTTCATGACCCGCTCCCGCCCCGCCCCTGCTCCATAGGTTCCAAGAGAGACTTAGTTTCACTTGAAATGACATATTTTTGCCTGTTATCCAATCAGGATCTGACTGCCTCACTAGATGCTTCAATGCACAGAGGCTCTAATCTAAACATGGATTTCTCATAGAGACTGACGGGCAGCGTCCTGCTGCTGTAGAGCAGCTGATTAATGTGCAAAATACTCAACAATTTAGCACAATTAATTCTGTTCAATAACTACGTTTATAGAGTTTAACAATGCATTGGACCAATTATTTTATGAAATTTACAGGTGAGGTTTAGCTTCACTGTTATTAAATGAGAAATCACAGCTGAAGACAGAGTATCCAAATAGAAAAGGATTTAAACCCAGAACCTATTCAGTAAAACGTCAGTGCCAATAACTGCTCACACACCCTGCAGCTCGCTAACTTGTTTAGAAGAAAACTTTCTGCAGATGATTTTCAAACATTCAGGTTTGTTTCAGACACTATGAAAGACTAATGAGGCTACAATTATGTATGATTTTACTGAACCTGCTGTTAAAGCAGCTACTTTCAGAACAACCTGAAGCTTTAATCAGATTCAAAAAGCTCAATAATCCAGGTTTGGACTTAATTGTTCTAAAGATGAAACAGTTATAGTTTGAAAACTACCAGAGATGTGCATCCAGATCCATCATCTCAATGTTGGTTTGTTCAGAGAAGCATTTGCTTCATTTTCTCCTAACTGGATCAGCCCAGATGCGTCTTATTATCAACTTTAACTGAGATGATGTCACTAAAGCGTCTCTTCTTCTCTCCTACAGTACCGTAAAGGCTTTGACAGGACGGTCCTGGAGATCAACACGCCGCAGTTGGAGCATCTTCCTCTGCTGGACATCAAGGTTACAGACTTTGGGGAGAACAACCAGCAGTTTGGCTTTGAAGTTGGACCTGTCTGTTTCCAGGGCTGAACACACACTAAAACATGCCAACATACACTCTCACACACACACACCTGCACTTAAACACACACACATGATCGACATCCATGCCAAGTAATTTGTAAATTAACTTGTAAATGATATTAAAAAACACATAAACCCACACAGATACACTCATCCTCACACATGTGCCTCGGGAAACGTTTTCCCAGCGACTAATGGACTAAAAAAAAAACAAATCAAACTTGTGAAGAGGAGAGAAACGCCTGGGAGCATGACGGCATAAGAGGAGGAGGAAACCAGGAGAGAACATTCCTGGAATCAAACATTTTTTTTAGGAGCAGAAGAAGAAGAAATCCTGAAGATTGAACCGTCAGCATGAAGCTCCCTCGTCTCCACCCCGCCCCATCTCACTCCTCTGTCCTTCTTTCTCCTCCTCCCAACCTCCCCCACCTCTTGCTGAAAGAAGAGTCACATCCAAACATCTCTTTATTTCCACGTTTAATGTACAGCAACATGATTAACAAACACCATAAAACAGAAAGCCATGAACCCGTCGATCACAACAGTCGCTCTGGTTCACAGCTTTAGCGCCGGTCGGCTTTAAATCCTTTTGATTTCATGTAAAAACTTGAATTAATGTGTTTTTTTCCAGACGCTTCGTTTTACCTCATGAACAGAATCTGATTCAGTCTAAAGAAGAGACAAAACTCAGACCAAATGTTTAGCTGTTGCACATCTAATCTGGATTATTTCTGGGTGCTAACTTCTATTGTTTTTACTCACATGTTAATCATGTTGTTTGCATCTCACTTCGTGTCGTTTGAGGTCAGAAGGAAGCGAAGAATCAGTGGCATCAGTTTTCTACCCAGATATAAACGTCCGCATGACCTGATTCTTTATCCTCCTCATTCTGAGGTTTCATCTTCCGCTTTCTGACATCTCATTCCCACTTTAAGTCTTCCTCAAGGTGCTTTTTAAAGTCATTTGTTTCATCGTTTGTTGCTGCAGACATGAAGATGATGATGTTGCCTTCCTCAGTAATGTTTAAGCCATTTTTATAAGCTGTGCTAAACATCATTTTGTTGTTTATGAATGTTTCTGGCATCTTTTAAAGAAAACAATCCTTTAAATCATCGCAGTAATTATTCTGGGTACATTTTAGGGCTGAATTACTGAATAAACTGTGTGGCAAGGTGCTAATTACACAAAAATCCTCCCATTTTTAGTCTCTTTTCTATTTCACAAAGCCTTTTAGGAGGGAAATGTGCATTACAGTACATTTGTACAGAAATAGCAATATTTTATTGTATTTATTTAAACCAGTCAGGGTGCTTTAGAATAAAATTTGAGACGGACGTGTTTCAGTTGTATTTATTTGAATGCGGCTCGAATGAAGCGTGACCCTGAACTCAGTCAGCCGGAGCTGCGGCGCTTCTGTCCGAACCCTGAACAAAGTTCCTGTCAAACCAAAGAATCTGTGGCCGTGTCTCGTTGTTAGATCCTCTGATGTTTTTATCAGCTGTACTGTGCCTTTAAATGTTGCTTCCACTATATTGATTAAACAGTGACTCCCAGATCTGAACATTCCTCTTTCCTTCCTAACAGAGTCCATTTTATGCAGCTGTCAGAACCAAAGTTTCTAAAACACAAAATCTTTAACTTTCTTTTTCTTCTATGTGAGACTGAGGCGAGTGGGAGGAAGGTGGTGAGTGGGAGGAGAGGACAGGCCAAGATGGAGTGAGGAGAAAATCCTGCAACCATGGGCTGATTTCTGACTATAGATTTCTGTTTTTTTTTTTATACTTCAATTATAGCAGTAAAGTGGGGTGGGGGGGCGGCCCTAAGATTAAACCAAACCAATCTGTCCTTCTTCTTTGAGAAGGACCTCGACTATTTGTTTTTGTGGTGTTGAAAACATTTCAACATGAAAATATGGTGCTGAAAAGTTTTATTTTATAATGTCTGTAAGTAATTTTTAAAAAGTTTGTTTGGTTAATATATAATCTTTTTAAAAGGAGATTTTTGACTCTTTGTTTTTCTTTCAACAAACCATCTAAAGGGGAAGCTGCCTTTCCTGTAGATTGACCACCAGGCATCACTGTTTTTGGGCAACTCATTAAGAGATGTCATCTGATTTAACAAAAAGTTTTTCATATATTTTTCAGCCAGATTAATATTTTAAACTGGTCTTCCTTCATTTAAGGTATTTCTGAACCTCTTTAGAAATTCTTATGAGCCCTTTGGCTGTTTTTTTGCAAACACTATAATTTGATGACTTTTTGTAGTGTTCCTCATTATTCAGACCCATAAATCATTTGATCAAAAAATATTAAAAGATTAAAGAATAAAGAAGCTTTGTGTGTCCAAAGACAAATGGTTGTCACTGAAGTGACAAAATGTGTCTCCCTTTTTTCATCTGTATCTCTGCAATCCCGCAAAGATAATTAACTTTACAACAGCACCTCTTGGTTTTCTTCTTTAAGGACAGAACGCTGTTAAGAAATAGAATAAAGTTCAAAAGAAGCTAAAGTACCAGAAGCCTGTTTTTGTATAAATTATTTTAAAAATCACAGAGAAAAGAGATGCAATTATAAAAAAATGAAAATATTAAAACATTCTCAGATTTTTTGATGCATAAATAAACGAGAGAGTTACAGCTTTGGTACTTATATTTATTCATTTGAATTTTCAGTTATTAAATCTTTTGGAACCTATCATAGAAATGGAAACTAATTACTTTTCATAGCACTTACTGATAGGAGGTGCTCTGAAAACATTTCAAAACTTTTTGTTGTTGTTTTTTTTAATATTGTTTTTTTTTCCTTCTACATCTACCCCTCATTCCATTATTTTTGTTTCCTTCAAATTGAAGCTGAGCATTACCTTCACCTGAAGGGGGAAACAGCTCCCTCTAGTGGACAGTCAGACATTCTGCCTTTCTGGGGTTTTCTTCAGTTTGTCGGAGCTCTGATGTTTTTAAAGCGATAAACAACATTCCGTAAATTATTTACAGACAAAAAGTGAACATTTAAACTTCATCAAGATATGAAATTATTATTTTAGGTATTTTAGAAACTTCTCAGCTTTTTAAAATAGAGACATATCTAACCCATGTTTTCCTACTTTGGCGGCTCTAAAGGAGCAAAACTGCTTTTCAATCTTTAAGTTTCTGTTTTTTCCAAATCATTGTTTTGTGGTGTCGATTGTATTTAGAGGAAACAATTTGACAATTTTATGACCTGCAACATCTGAGGATGAAGAGATCCCAGTTTCAGAAGAAATTACCAAACCTTAGAGAATAAACTTCAGATCTGTCATTAATGAGGTTAATCTGCTCCAAGAATACAGGAGGAAAGAAAAGTTTATTTACCATCAGGTTCGAAATAAATAATCTTTAATAAAACACTACAGTCCAGTCTGACATTCAGTTGTTTATTGGTACAAAAGAAGCTTCATAATTACAAATATTAACTAAACTTTACATGTTAATTAATTAAGTGCTGTGGTTGTTTGGGTTCATCAACAGGTTGTTTTCTTTAACCGATAAAAAGTCCACCTAAAAAAAAATAAAAAGAATATATAAACGTTAAACCTTCATCCGTTTGAAGGGAGATGTTATTTTAAATCCTGCTGAGCAGTTAATCTCTCCACCTGTAACTTCGATGCTGGCTCCTGTTATGTAGCGAGAATCATCTGAAGCCAGAAAGGCACAAACATCAGCGACCTCTAGAGGACAGAACAGGTAACAGTTTTATAGATTAATGGGTGTTTGGTCAAAGTAAAATCTGCAGGATAAACATGCAGACAATAAATCCTGATTTGATTGAAAATAAGCAGTGAAATGAGTTTAATGATCAGAACCAACCTGCAGCTTCACCCATTCGACCCAGAGGAACCAGAGACTTCATCTGAAACACAAAGAAATAAGTTTCACAGAAGAAGGAGCTTTTCAAAGAGAACATAAAATTTGAAACTTGTTTTACTGCAGAAAAAATAAACCTAAATATTAATAAAACAAAATAAAACCATGGAGATCATAGAGGTCAGATCAGTTTTATCTCAGGAAATGAATGAACAGTAGATCTATTGACATTAAATCCATATAAAAAAAATCAGCAGTAACACTATTTAAAATTATTCAAATGCAGGGGAAGAGGTGTTAGATGACTTAGAAAATCAGGTACAAAATAAAGGGACCCTGTCTACAATCAGAGCTAACTAACATCCACTGGTTTAGTTTTAATTGATGTTGATGAAAACTATCCTTTTTATCGAGGTATCAAACTACAGACATCAACATCTACAACATGCTGAGGGCTTTGGTTACAAACTAAGTGGAGAAAACATTTATTTACTATAAACTGGACAGAACCCGACAGAGGAGGCAACAAAATCATCTGAATTTACCAGCAGCTTCTGGATGGAGGGAGAGTCTGATTATTTTAATCTAGTGGGATTTTTTCCGATTATGCTTCAGTCGTATCAGATTAAACTCATCACAGCTCAAAGGGGAGTGAAAAATGTTTTCCTCCCTGATTTATCATTTGCCTTTTCTCTAGCTTTTTTTCAAAACATCAAACAAATGTAAATACTAGTTGAAGACTAAATCTTAAATGTCATTCTTCACTTATTTCTCAATTATATGATCCTAATCAATATATGCTACTCAACCACTACTTATAGATTATGACCCAGCAGGACTTCAGGTAATTAATGGAAGTTTTAAAGGAGAAATCCCCTAAAAGAAATGAGATGATGCAACACAATTCTTTTATTATGAATCCAAAACCCAAAATTAAGGAAACCCAGAGAAAAACAATACAGCTGCAGGATTATTTTAGACTGGTCCAGACTGGTCCCGTCTATCATCTAAAATGAATCCAATTCAAAATCTATAAAAAAGGAACTAAGGATTTTTTGAGGCATAGAATGACCAAAAAAAACAAAATGCTTGAAGCAAACTGCTTTTTAAATTAACTATAAACACCTGAGCAAAACACGAGAGCAGCTCCTCCATCCAGGAAACACCTCAGACCAGCGAACAACTGGTTTTAATTAAAAATGTCCCAGTAGGTCTGTTTGATATTTATTTCCATTTATTAAACATGCAGTAATTTAAAAAACATATTTTTGGATTACGTTGACTGGTCTTGATCAGATTGGGATTTTATGCCAATAACAGAGAGGAAAAAAAACAAATGTGTTTAATATATATTAAACCTGCTGTAAAATAAATAAAACATAATGTTTAAACAGAACATCTGAAATGTGCCGCTTTTTTGTTAAATTTATGGTCAAAATATTCTAGAAGCTGAATTAAAACAGCATCATGTTATTACATTAATTTCTCTGCAGTAAGAATAACTTAGTGATGTTGAGTTTAGCTTTGTTATAATGAATAAATTCTGATAAAGCTCTAACACGTCTGTGGCTTCACCTTGTCCAGAACCTTCTCTGGTACTTTATCTGTCATCGGAGTGGATATGAAACCAGGCAGGACGCAGTTACAGCGAATCCCAAACCTGAGGAGAACAGAAACAGCTCAGAGTGTTTTTATATGATTGTTTCTGCAGCATCTGTTTCCTCTGACCTGCCAAACTCCTTAGCAGCTGTTCTGGTCAAACCTTCAACTCCAGCTTTAGATGCAGCGTAGTTCGCCTGGCCGAGGTTTCCCACCTGCAAACATCAGAATATCCGGTTTTAAACCGGAACCTCAGCATAAACAGACATAAGACGGTTTAGTTCCCGTTTCATCTAGATGCTTTAAAAGCAAAAAAATAGGAAGCTAAAAGTAAAGTTTGTGTCTTTCTTTCATCTTTTGCTGGTCACAGTGGTTTTCTACAGATTTCTCACCTTTCCTACGATGCTGCCCAGAGTGATGATGGATCCTTTAGGAGCTCCACAGGCCACCAGAGCCTGAGCCACAGCCTGAGTCACCAGAAACGAACCCTGAAACAAAGAGAGAAGCCAATGTTTCTATTTATTAATCAGTCAATAAATTATAAACTAATCGGAACAAAGTAAATTTTTGTAGTTTTATCTATAAACTAATTTTTTACTTTCCTTAACTCTTCAACTGCCATGGTGCATCTGGTTTTTACAAGAACATATTTCTGAATTCTAACTACCATAGCTTCAACTTTAATCACTCAAACTGCCCAGTTAAAAAATAAACGCCTTCTTTTTAAAGACCCCAGACTTTTATTTCTATTCCAAACAGTTTAGGATTATTTCATACAATTTGTGCAGTTTTTAACTGTTTCAGGCATTTCAGAGGCAACAGTTAAAAAGTTATATAAAAAAGTCAGAAATAATGTTGAAAAGAACAGAACTTCACTCTTATTCTCACTGCAAAAAATCTAAATCTAGATAAGTCATTTTTTCTTAAAATAAGTGCATTTGTTCCTGAAATGAGGAGGTAAAAGAGACATTTTGCCAATGGAACAAGACAGTTCACACTTAAAATAAGAAAACACAATTGCATTGACTTATTTCAAGTGCATATTATCTAATTATCTTATTTTAAGAGTAAAATTACTCATTCCATTGGCAAACTATCTCATTTACCTACTCAAATGAATGGTGAATACACTTAATTTAAGACATTTTTACTTATTTCTAGATCGTTTTTGCAGTGTGTTACATAAATTAAACCTTTTTTTTAAATATCTTATTTACGGTTTGACCTGTTAGCTGACCGATCTGCTACCTTCAGGTTGACCCGGATGACTCTGTCAAACTGCTCCTCATCCATGTTGAGCAGGAAGTCGTCCTGAGTGATGCCTGCAGCATTCACGCACACAGAGGGAGGCTGAAAGTAACGAGTCTGAAGAGGGAGAGACCATGATAAAAGAAAAATAAACCGAACAATGCTCCCTGTGGGACGGCAGGACCAGGAATGACCAAACAGGATCTACATATCCTGGGTTCCTTTGAGAGATCTGGCAAAATTAACTCTGAAGACTCAAACTTCAGTCCTCATATAGTCAGATCAGTTACTTTAGTTTTGTTTTGTTCATTCAATAAAACACAGCTTAACTCATTCATATAACACCCAAAATCATGAAATAAAAGGAGCAGAAGAAGTAAAACCTACAATATCTGCCTCAATTAAAAAAGGGGGAAAGCTATCACTTATTCAACTGAACATAATTCCATCCATGTACAAAATAATACATAATGTTTACTAATATATAGATACAACAATAGTACTTTAGTTTACTCAGTTTCATATCACTTCATCATCAAGATTTTGATCATTTTAACTCAAAATTTAGACTGTTCCATAAATAAACACATTTATTAGAAAAACATTGTTCCTTCATCACTGTTTAATATCTTAACTTTATAAAGATCTCTGCTCATTTTAAGATGTATTTACTTTTCCTTATGAAATTTATTTTAAATATTGTTTGTCAGACTTATTTATCTGTCACTCAGATTAAGGTTTGATTGAGAAAACCAATTTAGACCGTTTTGTTTTTTTTTGCTTGTTTGTTTTTACAAATTGATTAATCACAATTAATTCTGATTTAATAAAGGAGCAAAAACTTCCATATAGGATCAAACTGATTTGGAATGAGTCATCTTTTATTAACTGTTTTTTATTTTTCACTCACATTATCTTTATAAAATGTTGGTTGTACTGAAACACTTTGACAAAAAGATAGAAAATCTGTAAAATGCTTTTTACAACATTTCACACAAATCAGAGACTCACACATATAACAAGGTTTTTCTACTAAAAGTATATTGGTCAGAAGTTACCATGGTAACAGACCAGGTTACTTATTGAAACAGAAAATTTCAGACTGAGTGAAGTTTATCTGATAAAGGAGCCTCTCATTGTTTTTACACGGAGCAGATCCCCAGATGTTTCTCTCACCTGGATACTCGTCACCAGCTTCGTCACGCTCTCCTTGGACGACACGTCCACCGCTGCCGCCATGTGACTCTGACCTCTGACGGCATTCTGGAGGCTTCCCAGCGTCTCATTGGCTGACTCCTCGCTGATGTCAGCGACCACCACTGAGGCGCCTTCAGAGGCCAAACGCTGAGACACGGCGCGTCCGATGCCGCTGCCTCCACCTGGGAAAGAGCAAAACAGAAGGATGGAAACAAGAATACAGGAACTAACTGAGTTAATGAGGAATGTCCTCAGATAGGAAGATGTAAACTTGTTGTCCTACAGAGATAATAATAGATTATTCATTTCCATGACCCTTCCAAAAAGCATCACATCTTTTTCCTACAACAAAGTCCAGAAAGTGACAGCGTTCCTTCATTATTTCCTCTTAGTGATTCATTATTATTAACATTTTCAGTTAAATATTTCTTTCTCACATAAACATTAAACTCTGCATTAACTAAACCCATTTAGACTCATAAAATATTCTGATCCTGGTCAAATTTCACATGAATAAATCAAATTAAAGAATATAACAAACTAACAGGAAGAGCAGATTATTTTTATTCAAAAATCCCCTCATGCATTGTGAACAAAAATGATCCGTGAATTTTAGGTGAGGTGATTTTAATGTAAGGGCCTCATTTTTACACTAATTACTACAAGCTGAAAAAAAAATAAAGACGCTATTTTTACAAAATGATGAAGCTGGTAGATCTACTTTATCAGATCCAAAAGTCCAAACAAAAAACCTAACCTGAATTACTCAAATGAATTAAAAGAATTTATACCCAAAAAGTAAACATTGGATTTTTTCCATTATTTCTATTTTTATAAACCTATATTTTACCAAATTATTTAAAATTCTCTCAAACTATTTCTAAGCAGCGTTAACAGACAAGAGAGAAAAATAAGATTCTGAATTTGTAAACATTCCGCGCTTTAGTTTAAAGAAGTAAATCAAAAAGTTACTTTTTAAATGAAAAGAAAGAATCTATCATGTTGATATTCAGTAAGAAGAATATGTCAGATTTCGCCAAACTTTCGGGGGTGAGTCCAAAGTTCACGTTTATTTAGAGATTTAAACTACGAGATGGTGAAATTAAGACATTCAATAATAACATCAAATATTATTATTTTTATGTTTAACTATATAAGACAAAAG